TTCCATTGCCTTTCACATGAAAGGCCTCTCAGAACTAACTACCATACCCTGTGACCCTCAGAACCAATTTCCTCTCCCTTCCCTCCTTGGAGAGAAGAAAGCAAGGGAAAAAGAGAGGTGCATGCCCTGGGGCCAGAAGCAGCTGCCAGACAGACACAAGAAGCAGGAAAGTAGGACACACAGAAAGAAAGAAAGATAAAAAACCTCAAGGCAAAATGTAGATACAGAGGAACAGATTAAAATAAGAGCTAAGCTAAGGCCAACCATTCATAACTAATAATAAGTCTCCATGTTGTGATTTGAGAGCTGGTTAGTGGTATGAAAGAAAGCTTAGTACACTTCCCTGTGCGATATTAATCTTCTTAGCTGTGAGAATTCCAGATCCCTCCCTGAGCATCCACAGTAGCTCTGCATCTGATCTTAGTGTGCTGTGCTAAAGGATATAAAGCCAGGTAAACTGAGTCAAAGGCATCAGGAAGAGGAGCCCCGCCTCCAGCTGGCACATGCAGAGATGAACACATCTCCCAAGGTGGCACACCAGGTCAGAGGTCAGCTTCAGTCTGGATCCAGCTCTGCCACACACTCCACACTTCCAGGGCCCCACCCTCTTCCACCCAGGGTACCCAGATGTTATGGAATAGTTTTGTTGTAGACTGTGAAGATGCTCTTCTTGCTTTAATAAAGAGCTAGTGACCGATAGTTAGGCAGGAAGAGGTTAGAAGGGACTTGTGGACAGGGATGAAGAAAGGCAGAGTCTCTAGGAGACACTGAGAGTAACAAGATGAATTTGCTGTACTGAGAAAAGATACTGAGCCACGTGGTAGTACATAGATAAGAAATATGCTTCTTTTTTTTTTTTTTTAACTTGAAAATCTAATTTATTTGCAGATGGTCTGTCCCATCTCACAGAGAAGCCAAGGTCTGTCCCATCTCACAGAGAAGCCAATCTCCACAGCACAGTGATCTTAACACAGAGCTCAGGAACAGACTTCACAGAAAGGAGGGGTCATGAGGGTACAGAATGAAGAACAAGAAAGAAAGGGATGAGAAGGAAGAGTGAGGACCAGGAAGGAGGGGTGTGGGCTGGAGCTCCCTCCTCTGCCAGTCAGCTGGAGGCCTGACTTTCCTGGCTCCTGATGCTGTAGTCAGTCACGGTTCTCTGCTGTTCTTCCACTTCAGGAGAAGTCCACCTGTTCACAGGAGGCATAGTTTCCAAAGCTGTCCACTGTGAACCTCTGGGAGATGTGAATGGAATCTAGCTTTAGTGAACCAAAGTAGAAGTTCTGGCCATCAAATGACCCTCTTTCCTTGAAGATATATTTGCCATCTGCTGTGTAGAGATTGCACCTGCCATCAGCATTGGGGTCATGCCTGAAGAGTGTGTTCATGACCGTGGCATGCAATTTCACACTGTTCCACTTTTTCACTGAAAGCTCTCCAGCACTCAGTCAACTAGTTCCTGCAGCCTGTTGGAGCCATCTTCCATGTGGACTTTGGCATAAAGAACATCTACCATACTAGGATCGTCATTCATGTACTCAATCCCTGCCATCTCTGCTTCCAGGGGTTTGCCACCAGAAATGTCATTAATGAATTCCTGCAGGATCTCTCACATCTGCTGAATCTCTTGTTTGCTTAAAAGCACCAACATCCCAATAGTTAGGTGAAGCTTTTTGAGATTCTGAAAAATGGAGCTGTCAACACCATGGTCTGTGGAGCACTTCTCCAGCACTTCCCCCTGGGACTTCAAAAATCTTTCCTGAACTTCAACTTCATTGAGGAAAAAGGCCAGGAAGTGAGTGAAGGGCTGCTTCCTTCTAAAGGTGACCAGAAGGACATCAATCCGTGTTCGGGCTGGAATTACACCATTTCAATGCTGACCAGTGATCACAATTTCTCCTTCTTGTCCAGGGTTAGGAATGCTAATAGGTGTTTTAGCCTCCATTTCTATTTTCTTCTCAGTATCCCCTTTCTTTCCAACTATGTACTCGTAGAGCAGGTTGGGGGCCCTGACAATGGCCTGGAACCCTTGAGGGGTTTGCTCCACCTCGTAGGCATCACAGGGCTCATCAGAATATTCCATGGAGTCTTGATAGAAACCTTCATCTCCTTCATGTGGATAATTTTTTTCCTGAATGGGATTCTTCCTATAATTCCGTCCATTGATTGTTATAAGCTGTGGGCATAGAACATCCATGACACTTTCTCCAAATGATATTCTGGTAAAGTTCTGCTAGGACTAACAGAGAGGGTGGAAAGAGACCCTGGAGACTCCCCAAGAAATATGACTTAATTTAAGTTATAAGAGCTAGTTAGTAACAAGCTTTATAAAAGTAAGTCTCTGCATCAGTTATTGGGGAGCCAGAGGTCCCAACAAGAACTCAGCATACACCTAGCCTCTGCTTTGAGTATCTCCCTTGAGGACTGGGCTGCGGATAGCCACAGAACCCTTGACTGAGTTTCTGGAGTCAGTAACAGTTCAGGGGCTGGGCTGGAAACACCACCCCTCTACTCCCCCACCCTCCTCCATCCCCCCTCCCTGGGTCAGGACTGTACCACGCTCCCCTTCAACTTCCTTTAGCTTGTCAGACATTTCCCTAACTGAAGAAGTGCAGAGTCCACTGTCCAATCAAGAGCTGGCATTCTGCCACATCACCAGTTACCAGGGGAAGCTGCTCCTGGAGATGTCCACAGCACCACAGCCTACTCCAGCTCTAGAAAATGTGAGAGACAGTGGCGACTTCACCTGAAGTGGACACACTTGCATCACCTTTGACATCTTCATCATTAAGCTGAGGGGCAGTAAGTGCCAGGTTAAGGCACCTGGCTCATAGTCACCTTCAGTCACCCCCTTTGCTCCCACAAGCTTCAAGCACAGTTGTTCCAAAGGCCCTGTGGAGGAGGTGAACGCACCCCCAGTGCTCAGAGCTGGCTGAGCACTGTGTTGATGAATGTATGACAGGACATGGCAGAGCTGGCTCAGCACTGTGGCCTGATTAATGTCTCAGCTGCAACTGGATCAAGCTTTAAAAACACTAAATAAAAAAGAAACTGCTGGTTTCAAAGAGGACCCTCATACTTAATTTCTAACTAGCAACTGATGATGCTGCTCACATCTGATGCTGATTGGCTCCCCGCACTGACCTTACTCAACACAGCACCAAAGCAGTGAATCCCCTGGTTCTACTGACCTGGGTGTAGATGGAAAGGGGATATAGTTTCCAGGGTGTGAGACCACCATCCTCTCCTCTTCTATGATGGGTCTGTGGCTCCCCAGAGGCCCCTGTGTGGCAGCTGTGGTCCTGATCCTGATGGCACTGAGCCCTCTGGTGGCTTTGGTTAGGGACCCCCCGACGTAAGTGCACTCCTTAGGGCCGAGCTGCTGGGGGTGGGGGAAGGAAGGGACTGACTTCCTCACTTCCAGGTCAAGTCCCTCAAATCTACTGATATTTTCCTCACATGAAATCCAACCTATTTCCCCAAATAGGAGCCTAGATGTTAGTGTACTTTCAGATCTGTGTGTGAGGGCACCCCCCCCCCATATCAGCCATTGCCTTTCAGTTTCTTCCACTAACATCTCTAGCCTTGTGTCATATTCCCCCAGAGCCTGGAGAGGATTGATAAATCATGTTGTTAAATTAACTGCTTGGCACAGAGCTTGTCGTCTTCATTGTGTTGAGTCAGGCTAGACAAAGAGGTTTCTTTTTAAAAATGTAACTGCATATATTTGTTTGTATGCCATTTTGTGTGTGTGTGTTTCTGTTGTTTTAAGTAGAAAGTGGAGCTTCCCATGTGGGGTTCTGCTGGGAGGTGGATTAGTTGCCTTTCTCCCTGGGAGTGCAGGACAGCCAAGGCAGCCACAGAGACATGGGCTCAGTGAGCTGTGAGGGGAGGGTTAGAGCCCATTTTGTTTTCATTTTCATATATCCGTATTTTAATTTTTCTCCTACATTCTCTGGCCTGGGACCATGGAAGAGGATTGTCCCTCCCCTCCCCTCAGGTCAGATTTGACAAATGAACTCTGCTTCTGATTTTAAAACATTCTGAGATCCATTGTTCTGTTCTCTTGAGTAAGTTCGTGGACTCTCTCAAGTTTTTACACATGGTGTCACCTCCCTAAATACTTGCAGTTACCATCTTTCCTGTCTGAGACTAACTTAACCATCCTTGGCACTCAACTGTCACCCCTTAGAGAGCTTCCCTGGTTCCTCCATCACTCAAGTCTCCCAACCCGCTCCTGTTAGCAGAGCCCCACCCTTCTCTCCTGACTTTTCTCATTCTGGGATAGTTTCTTGACCGTGTCCCTTTGGTCTCCCACTTTCAGAATTTTAAGTTGCAGAAGTGAGGGGAGGTCCCCTGATGCTTAGGGAGACTGGAAGTGTTGTTGCTATCCAGAAAAGAACAATGCTTCAGGGGCTTAAAACAAGACAGAGCAACCCTGCTGTGGCCAACCAGAAGGGACTGGTAGTGATGCTTGAGCATCTGGGGACAGGGATTCTTCAGAAGGTCTTAATTTTTGTGACAAGACCTTTGATAGGTCTGGAGCTCACCAAGCAAAGTAGGCTAGGCTAGCAGCCTGTGAGACTCCTGGCTCCTCATCTGTGTCCCCATCACAGAGTTACAGGTGTGGGCTCCAGGGATCAAACTCAGATTCTCAGGCTTGCAAGACCAGTACTTTACCATTGAGCCATCTCAGCAGAGATGTTTTCTTGGCCAAGAGTGGGAGAGGTGGGAGATGGAATTGGCTAATCAACTTCTCCACCCTTTTGGGATCTGGAGGTCATAGGGCTAATAAAAGGGTGGCGTATTTGTGCTTTTTCTGGAAGTGAAGGTATGTTTTCCCAGAATTTTGGTCCTTTTCTTTTATGGCTTCTGGAGAGAGAGAGAGAGAGAGAGAGAGAGAGAGAGAGAGAGAGAGAGAGAGAGAGAGAGAGGAGAGCAGAGTAGGCAGAGGTGGTCCAGGACATTCCTGCCCTGCTGGTTTGCATACCTGAAGAGGGACTTATGGATTTGAGATGTCTGGTCCCCGAGAGAGAACCATTTGGGCAGGTGACACTGCTGTTTCTGCAGCACGTTTCTTGCAACAAATCAAAAGCGAATGCCATTTCTTCAATGGGACCGAGCGGGTAAGGTACTTGCAGCAACATGTCTACAACCAGGAGGAACACTTGCGATTTGACAGCAGTGTGGGCAAGTACCAAGCAGTGACGGAGCTGGGAAAGATTCAAGCCAAGTACTGGAACAGCCAGAAAGGCTTCCTGGAGCAGAAGCGGGCCAAGGTGGACACATTCTGCAGATTCAACTATGCCATTGTGGGGCTATTAACTGTGCTGCAGAGAGGTGAGGAAGGGGGAGGGGAGGGAGGGAGAGAACAGAGAGAGGGGGAGAGGGAGAACAGAGGGGTAGGGGGAGGGAGAAGGACAAGGCAGAGCGAGAAGGGGAGGGAGGAGGAGAGAGGTCTCACACACTTATTTAGATAGATATAGATAGGACAGCTGTTTTCAGCATGAGAAGTACTTTTAAGTCTATATAGAAAACAACCAAGGGAATTTAAAACATTGAGCTTGTGACCATGATGACATTAGCAATACTTTAGTAGACTAGATTAATAACTTATCAGAACTCCATTGATTAATGCTAAAATTCTGAACTTTTTCTAGTTGGTTTTTTTTTTTTTTTTTTTTTTTTGACACGGTTTGTCTTCATAGCCCTGGCTGTCCTGGAATTCTCTCTGTAGATCAGGTTGGCCTCAAGCTCAGAGAGCCACCTGCCTCTGCTTCCAGAGTGCTGGGAATAAAACTCTGAACTTTTGAAGTCTTTATATTAACAATAGCATAGAGCGGGAAGGGAATCTGAAACATCTCTTATTTTTCTAAAGGTTCCTTAGACCTTTACAACTTGCATTTATACACCTTAAATTACTTTCTTAGATCCTCATGTCTCACTTAAACTTCAAACCTTTTATTTTCATACCACGAGACACCAATGGTTGGTTAATGAGAGCAGTCATTACAAAGCAAGGTCTTTTAAATTAGTAAAATGTTACATTGAAACCTATTTTGTGAGTTTACTTAGTCTGGTAGCCCTACCTGTACTTCCTAACTGGCTACTGGTCAACCAGCTTTTTATTAAATCAATAGGAGTGATAAATCTTTACAGTAAACAAGAGCATTGTCCTGCATCACCTGGTTTTGATTAATATTTTCTAATTGTAAATATTTTAACTCAATAATGAAAACATGTTTGAGGTCTAAAATAAAACCGTAGAGTTCCTCAGATCCCTTGGGCCCTGCCCTCAGGATTAACATTATAGGAAGGTTTAGGAGGTCTGTCTGGACTTCAGTCTGGGTGGATAAAGGCAGACAGGCAGCTGAGCTGAGAGGACAGCTCCGCCCTCAGGACTTATTCTCACCTCCCTTTCTCCTCTAGCTGAGCCCCAGGTGAGTGTGTACCCGACAAAGACTCGGCCCCTGGAGCACCACAACCTCCTGGTCTGCTCTGTGAGTGGCTTCTACCCAGGGAACATTGCAGTCAGATGGTTCCGGAATGACCAGGAGGAGAAGGCTGGGGTCGTGTCCACGGGCCTGATCCGGAATGGAGACTGGACCTTCCAGACCCTGGTGATGTTGGAGATGGTTCCTCAGAGTGGAGAGGTGTACACCTGCCAGGTGGAGCATCCCAGCCTGACCAACCCTGTCACAGTGGAGTGGAGTGAGTGGGAAGCCCTGACCCTGGGAGTCCCTGCCCACCAGGGATGGGCGTGGCTTGCCTCTGCCTGTCAATTTTTCTGACCCTGTGAATCCCCGCCTACCAGGGAGGGGGCGTGGCTTACTCCTGCCTGTCAACTCTCTCTGCCCACACACTGTTTCCACTGGTCTGTGCTGTTCCCTCCTTCAGCCTGGATCACAGGGTTAGCTGTGTGATCTTCTACAAGCACCTTGGCCCCCTGGGAAGCAGTTACACCACCACACACTTTTCTAAGCTCTCCAGTGACACCACAGCCCAGGAACCAGCTTTTTCCTGGCTGCAGCCTCTTCTCTCTGGCTGGGTTGTGTTTCTGCTGCTGCTCATGAGATGATGGACAAGGAGCAGTGAGGGTCATGGCTGACCTCAGGGACATCCAGTCTCGGCTCTGCCTTTGCTTACCTCTGTCACCTTCAGGATGGTGCAGCCTCAGAGCTCAGAGGCTTCCTGTCAGATCAGCTCAGGGGGCCATATGAAATCTCTTCATGCTGTTTGATTGCTTTCCAGCATCAGTAGGGGTGTTCAATTCCTGCTCCTTCAGAACAGGGTTCTTCCCCAGTCTCTAAGCTCTGAGTCTCAAGGTCCCAAGGGGAAGCGGGGTTTGGGTGAAAACCTGCACACCTGGCTTCTTTTCTCAGGGGCCCAGTCCACATCTGCACAGAACAAGATGCTGAGTGGAATCGGGGGCTTCGTGCTGGGTCTCATCTTCCTCGGGCTGGGGCTGTTCATCTACTTCAGGAACCAGAAAGGTAAGGAGCCTGGTGGTGGCCAAGACCCCATTGCATTTGAGGCAAGACCCATGCTTTGTTCTTGGATGTCACTGGGTGTGTGACCTCAGATTTCAGTGGACTCTGAACCCAACAGTCTGAGTTACTGGATTGAACCCCAAGGAGTGATAACATTAGAGACAGGGAAAGCTGAGGTGACTCTGCCTTGAGAACTGGGAACAGAGGAAGAGAGAAGGAAGAACCAGTGGGCTGGAGTGAGCCTGAGGCTTCCTCAGCCCCCCTCTCTGTCCACAGTCTGCTCTGGCCTCAGTGCTGTGGGCTGTGGTGCCAGGGGAATCGAGGGTGACATCTCAGAGTCTGGGGACATGTGTCTGGAGATAGATCCTCCTCCATGCACTTAAGTGCATATTTTATTCTCTTTTCTAGGACAGTCTGCCCCACAGCTTGCTTGGGGTCCCTCCTACTCCACTCGCTGTATTGGATGGACGGAGAACCAGAGTTAACTCATAGCATTAAAAAGACTCTGCTTTTGCACTGGATCTGGTCTCTTGGTGGTTTTGGGGGTTCAGAGTCTGGGCACAACAGAACCCCAGTTCTGTGGAGGTTGAGACATATCCCTGGAGCTCCCTGGACCACCAGTCTAGCTTAGTCTGTGAGATCTAGAGCAATGGGAAACCCTGTCTTAAACCGGATGAACAGTGTTCCTTGGGAGGACACTGAAGTTCTCTCCTGGTCTCCACATTCATGCCATCAAAAATAGTAAAATTCACAAGTAATGTAGACCGCTGAATTTATTTCTTGTATGTCACCTGCCCTGCAGTGACTTACCCTGGGCCGTTCCTTTCTCTTTGCTATTTTGTATTCCTGAAACTCAATGAAGCAGGTGACTTTCATTATTTGTTTATTTGACAAAAATGTAAGGCAGCATTATGACAACAGCCTGACTCAGAAGCTCAGACAAAGTGCAGGGGACAAGAAGGAGAAGGACAGGGGAGGGGAGGGGAGGGAGTTCTGTGTGGTGTTGCCAGGCCCAGGCAGGGGCCCAGCCAGCCACCAGGGAGCACGGGTCTGAAGGGTCCAGAGCCAGGAGGAGCCAGGTCCTGGGAAGCTCTGCCAATGGAGGGACTGGTACCAAACATGGAGACGGGGATGCTCCTTCCTCCAGTCTTGTCAGCTCCACTCAGCTCAGGAGCCCTGCAGAGCACAGGGACACAGGTGTTTCCAGACCTAACTCTGCAGTGGCTTGTCTCACCCCCTCAGGCTCTCCTGAGAACATGGCAATGGGCAGAGAGAACTCCCGCTCCAAGTCAACCCTGCTTCAGAGCACAGGCCTTCGGTAAGTGCAGGGAACAAGGCTCATTGCAAACCGCCTGGCCGGGCCCTGGGTCTATAATTCCCCTGGTGTTTCTGTCTGGTGCCCATCAACCCCAGCCCCACATTGCAGGAAAAGCAGATCTGTCTCTGAGGAAAGACTAAAAGGTGTATTTGAATTTTAAAAGCCAACATATAATCATATCAAACACAGACATTTATGCACATAAGAAGGGAATCCGTGAGAGGCTGTGTGAGAAGAGGGAACACATAAACACTTCTTTAACAGAAGGCAGGTTACGTCCCTGTGTGCCTGCTGCCATCTCCCCAGAGCACCAGGGTTCTCAGGCACCTCACCGAGCCTAAAGGGAAATGAAAACCAAGACATGTTTGCTGTGAGTCGCAGGGAAGGGAAACAAGGTAGGCTTGTGTTTCTCAACATAGCCAGAGAGAGAGTCCTTGTCCTGGACCTTGTCCAGGCGGTACCTTGTGGCGGCACAGAGATCATAGGCTGACAACACAGAGGTCTTCCACAGTGCTGGTCCAGCAGCCCAGGTAGCCACACCCAGACTCCTCATCCTCTGTCCTGACTGTGCTCACCGGGTGTTTCCCTCCTCCCCTCCCTGTCTGTTACCCAGACCCTGTAACTGCCCTGCTGCAGCCATACAGCCAGCCACACAGACCTTCCCACTCTGTATTCCTGCATCCTGTCCCAGGGCAGCTCTGGGCTCTGTCTGGTGATTCCCATAGTCACCCATCTGAAGTAGCTGATCTGTACCGACTCCAAGGCAGCCAGAGGAAGCTGCTTGCTTTGAACCCAGTATGGAGAGCAACAAGAACGCTATCCCTTACTTCCTGTGAAAACAGTCCTGTGGGTTCATGACTCAATTTCAGGGTCTATAGCAAGGGTCTGTGCAGACTGATCCTGGTTCCCAGAAACCAATGCGACTGCTCTCCCTCAGGGACCCAGTCTCTACTCTGCCTCCTCACACTCAGCAGAAGTGGAGAGTTTGGCTCTGCTTTGCCTTCAGTGGGGGAGTTCAGACTAGACAACCCATGGTTTGGAGACAACTGTTGCACTGTTTTACCTGAATGAAGATTATCTTAAGTTAATATTGAAGGAAATAAAAAAATGGTCAATTTAAAACAGCCTGCTTTTGACATTCATAATTTACAAAAGCAATATAGAGGTTTCAGTTCAGGCATGTGTCTTAGTCCAGTTATCTTACAAAAGAAGCATGGGGGCCAGAGGGCTGGGTCAGTGGTTAAGATCACTGGCTGCTCTTCCAGAGTATCCTGGTTCAATTCCCAGTACTCACATGGTGGCTCACAACTGTCTGTAATTCCAGCTCAGGGCTGCAGTGCCCTTCTGGCTGCTGTGGGCACTGCAAACAATATTCTATACAAAATGAAAAGTTTAACTCCTAAAAACAATTGCTTGTCAGTTATAAACTATGAGAATGATATGAATGTAGTTTTGATGTAATCTCCTGTGTTCCTGGGCTGTGAGTATGTAATTCTCAGGAAAGACCACCTTAGCTTCCCTCCATCAGTGCTCGTCACAGTGGCCTGGTGTGCTGGTCCTGTTTTCTCTGTTGGACACATTAGTGTCCTGTTTCTCTTGGTACAATCAAAAGCTCCCCCATAATGCAGGATTGTGGGGGTCTCTGCAAAGACCTTGGCCAGAAGAGTAATGATTCCTATGAGACAAGAAGGAGTCCAGTTCAGCACGACTCAGTAGCTGGTGCTGGTTCACGCTTCCATAGACTGACACTGGGCAGTTTATTTTAGGCATATTTAAGTGCAGTACAATGTGGGGAGAAAAGTCTCCTGGTGTAACACAATCCCACTGTGAGGGGTGTCACTGAGTTGTGCTGGGTGAGGAGCTGGACAGACAGACAAAGGCTTTGGGTCACTGGACCACAGCCTGGGTCTCAGAGACCCATCAAAGGGGCCTGAGTAACCATGAATGTGAGTTTTATCTGTCATGTTGAATGAGACACACCCATTCTCATGCTCCAAGAAGACACTGGCAGGGTGCTCAGGAGACGTGGCAGCCCAGTATGTACCCTCAAAGATCATGGTGGCCCAGAAGCCATGATGCAGTTTATGTTAGTCTTCCCACTCCTGGTCACAGGCACACACACCTCCAGGTCCCTGGCTTCACACCTGACCTCCATCTCCCAGTATCACTACCCTGAGATAAAGGCCTGCTGACCCAGCACACAGGCCAGGGAGTAAAATCTCAGTGGCTCCATGGGGGCAAATCTGAGGTTCCCTGTGGTCACATGTCTCCCTTAAGATAAGATGGCTTCAGGGAGTGTTTGGATCCAGAGTCATAGTCACTGCAAAGAAAACCATCTGTCTGATCTCCAAGACACTCAGCCTGATGGCATACTGTTATGCCAGGTCCACAAGACCTCCAGAGAGACCACCACTCAGAGCTGACACCCCCCAATGCATTCACAAAGTTTCTTTATTCAAACCTAGGCAGGGACCTCACCCCACAGACTGACACAGCAGCTTCAGGAGAAAGGCCCTGAGCCTCACAAGCAAGGGGTTTTTAAAGACAAAGACCACAGGATAGGATGAGGGTACAGGTTTAAAGCTGATTGGCTGGGATCTAGAGAAACGTGGGGAGTTCCATTAGATTTATCTCTGGCACCATATGTGTTCTCTGGCACCACATGTGCCCACAAAGGTTGTTTCTGTAGCTAACCTGGGGTCAAGGCCATTTGTCTCCCCTTCCTGCCTGTCAGGACCTTTGAGTTATGTCACCTTCCCGCTTGTTGGCGTTCCCAGGTGGATGGTGTAAGCCATCTGCACAGGTCATGATGGTAGCTTCTCACATAGTGTTGTTTATGGTTCTTTTTCCCTAGGATGTCTCTGGTTTGGTCTTTCATTGCAGGAGCCCTTTGCAGGCTCAGATGCCTAGGGCTGGAGGAGGAGGGGGCATTTGGACATGAGCTCTGTCCCCTGCTCTCCTTTACCTGATGCTGAGCCCAAACATGGGGAGCAGACTCACTCTGAGATGGACACAGTGACTCACCAGTGTGAGCAAGTTCTTCTCTCCAGTTCTCAAAAGAACATTCATGTGCATTAGCAGAACTAATATTTGAATTTTTCGCCAGAAGAAACCAGTCCTTTCCCATTTGAATTCTAATGGCCCACGATGTACTTGGTACATTTTGTTTGACCTAAGTTTTCCATTCCTTTCCTTATTAAACATTGATGCTCGAATTAATTGCTCTAGATATACTTTTTATTGTGTGGACTAGAGGTGTTCACCATACAGCTATCATCTTCTTGAACAGACAGAAGGTCCCATTCTCTGCCCTTCCACAGGCAACTTCTAAACGCACACATGGGTGAGGCATGTCAACAGTGAGGAATGAATGGCACAGAGTTCATGTGGAATTTTCCCATTTTCGTTCTCATTTGAACACATTTCCATCCTCCCCAGGATGGTCCACACACAGGCCCCATGCTGGTCCCCAGGCTGTTCTCCTGGGTGGTCTGCATGCTGGTCACCAGACTAGACCTCAGCATGGTCCCCAGAGTACCAGCTTGTTCCTCAAGGCTTGCTCGATTTGCTTTCTTATATATGCCAGGACCACCTGCCCAAGGGTGGAACCATCTAGAATGGGCTAGGTCTCACACATCAAACATCAATCTAGAAAATGTCTTACAGACTTACCTACAGGCCAGTCTGATGGAGACAGTTCCTCACCCGAGGATTCCTTTTCCCAGATGACTCTTGTTTGAGTCAAATTGACAAAGACTTAACCAGCACATTGCTGGTATATAGTATGTTAGATTAAACCAAGAATAGCACTGGGGGAATATGCCCAGAGTACATTATGCACTTGCATGAGAATGGCCCTATGTTGTCCTAAATAATAAAAATAATAATGTATAAGCAGGGAGCAAATGTGTTATCAGATTCAGGAAGCCATGGATCCATTTATCTTAGGAATGATTAAACAGATTTATATAAAAAGGAAGACTATTAACAATCATAACAACTTGAACAACATGAACTGTCTTTTCTGCCAGTAGTCTCAGAAACTTGATGTCCAGAAACTGGCCATAGAGGCTCATGGAGTCTCAGGTAAGAGGCCTCCCAGCCAGAGGTCCCTGTGCCTGCCCAGGAGGACCAGAGTCCTGGAGTTTACAGGTGACACACCGCAGTACCCGCCCACTGAGTTCTTTGTGCACATCACTTGAGAGTGTGTGGTGGTGAGAGGTTCATGGGATTACGTGTGAAGTAAGGATAGAGTGATCCCAAGAACTTGGCCTGGGTGAAGGAGAAGGTGTGGGTCTCATCAGTCATGTTATAGAAAGAAAGGTCATTGTCCTCCTGATCCAAGAAGACTGCAATCTTCAGTGGTCGAGTCTCCAGCAGCAGAGGCTTTTCCAGAGAAATGGTTTGGGAACAGAAGATAAGAGCTCTGTATTTATCTTCCTTCTTCTCCAGGACTGTGAATTTCTTCAGTGAGTCTCTGGATGGTGCATCCTGAGTGGTCAGCTCATAAACACCATTCCTCAGTGTCCCCAACATCCACCTCCCAGTAGTATCTCTCCAGCATGAAGCCTTCTTGGTACAGCATGATGATGTTGTGGGCTACTTGTGGGTTGCTGAGGGATGGATGTGCTGTCTCCTCTCTGCTGCTCTCTTCTGTCTTTGGGTCAGATTTATCCTGTTGAGGTACTTCATGATTTATTGTCACAGGAGGAAGAGGAGGGGGAAGAGGGAGAGGGAAGGAAGAGGGGAGTAAGGAGGAAGAGGAAGGGGAGGGGGAAGCAGGAGGGGACTAAGTCACAATTGTTTCTCTACCAATAACTGTCCAAAGTTAACCCTGTGTGTAGGAGGCTACTGGATGGGTGAAGTCTTAAGGGAACTGGTGTGGGCAGCTGGTGTGGCAACACTCCTGAGGTGTTGGGTCACGTGCTCTCACAGTGCATTCTGAGCTCTACATCTCATTCTATCTTATCTGTGCTACTGTAGGGTCTTGGGAGAGCATGGAGTGAGCCAGGGCTGGATAAATCAGAGCCTTGTTCCTCTATTGTGGAAGGGCTGGTCACAAGCTGACCTCACAAAATGAAGCTGAGTGTCCTTGCCACTTGGAACAGTGTTTCCTTAGTTAGGTGTCTCCTCAGTAAGGAGCCATGGTTCTGCTTTCCAAGCCCAGTGGATGCCACAGACAAGAACGCTGAGCCAGAGTGTGGAGCCGGGAACAGAACCAGTGTGGCTGAGCCTGGCAGTGGCCGGCAGCAGGGTCACGCAGCAGGGTCCTTTCCTCCCCTCCTGACCCTCAGCCTGAACAACAGTGTCTGTCTGTTAGGAAGACCACACAAAACAGCAGAGGGCAAACCGGAGGCTGCTGCGCTCAGCCGTTCACTTGGCACGTGCAAGGCTTGACACTGATCTCCAAAACGAGGAACAAAACAACAGCAACTCAGAGGGTTGAGGCAAACAGCAAATGGACTCACCCAGCTGGAACAGTTCCTTCCTCCAGTCTGGAAGAGAGCAGAGCAAACAGAGGATGGAGCTGCACCCAAGGACTCAAAAGAGACACCCCACCTGGGCTTTCTCCTCCCACCCACTTCCTCACTAAGTCCCTCCAACTTTCAAGTCCAGAAACCCCCGAGGGCAGGTGGCTCTCTGTGCCGACTCGGACTACTCCCTAGAGCCTCAGTGCTGGGGGTGGGGGTGAGTGCGGGTGACAGTGGGGTCAGGATGAGGTGGGGTGGGGATGGGATGGGGTAGGGGTGAGGGTAGGCATGGGTGTGTGCTAAGCTCCTCTTGCTCATATGCAGCAGCTGTTGGGCCTCAGGTTTTATTTAAAAGTTAGATATGTCCGCAGCTGGGTGGGGTGGGGTGAGGACTTTCATTTCTTAACAGGCACAGCACTGTGGTCTCTTACTGAAGCTCCCTCCACAAAGAAATTTAACATCTACTGTGTAGAGCCATGAGGACAGGACAGGGAGAGTGGCTGGAAATGCAGCTCATCCTCGCATCCTGCTGAAGGAGAATGGCTGACCAGGCTGATAGAGCTGCTTCCCTCCCTTCTTCAGAACCACAGCAAGTTTTTTTTTTGTTTGTTTGTTTCTGTTTTTTTTTTTTTAACAATACTGGTTTTTAATTTTTGTGTGTCTGAGTGGTTTGCCTGCATGTATGTATGTACACTACATGAGTGCAGTGCTGGCAGAGGTCAGAAGAGGGCATTGGATCCCCTGGGACAGGAGTTACATATAGCTGTGAGCCACAATATATAGGCTGTGGGAACTGAACTCGGGTTCTTTGCAAGAGTAGCCATTGCTGCTGAGGCATCTCAGAACAAATTGTTAGAGTCTCAGCAGAAGCTACTTTCTGAGCTGTCTGTCACCCTGGAAGGTCCTCCTGTCTGTCACCTCCTCCCAGCACTCAGGCTGCCTGGAACAGCCTGGCTTCTAGCTTATGTTCTCTGGGGACTTTCAACTTCCACAATGTCAGAGATGAGAGCTGTGCCACCTACGTGTGGCACAGTGTTTGATGTATGGAAATTGCATAGATGGGATCAAGGAATGACCTTAGTGTGTTTATGAACTCCACATCACACACACACACCACAATACATTCAGTCACACACATCATACGCACTCAGGCACACATTACATAATACTTCCACACGTACACACACTCACACATCACACACTCACATACATAGTCACTCGCACATATGCATACACTCATGTACACATCACACACATTCACTCTCACACATCACACACCACTTAGTCATACAAACATCATGGACCCTCATGCACACATCACACACATATGTACAGACTCACACACATCACATGCACACACTCACACATATGCATACACCTTATACACAGTCTCACACACATTTACACACCCCACACACATGAATATACACACACTTATACACTTATCACATAAACACATGCACACAATAAATAAATAGTTATCTCTTCTTTTTTTCTTAGCTATGGAATCCTCAACACAAATGATCACAACTTGCCAGGCGTGGTGATGCACACCTGAAATCCTAGCATTTGTGGGGTAAAGGCAGGAGGCCTAGGAGCTCACACCCAGCCTTAGCTACACAGCATATGATCCAGCCTTGGTAGTGGGCAGTCCTGTCTCCAAAAAGTCCTTCTTTCCTTCCTTCCTTCCTTCCTTCCTCCCTTCCTTCCTTCCTTCCTTCCTTCCTTCCTTCTTTCCTCCCTTTCTTTCTTTCTTCTCTTACTTTGCAAATTGACCGCCATTAAAGCATGCATTTGTGATCATACATGTGTTTAAGTTTCCAGGTCATATGCCCATTATTTTAGAGTTGTTAGCAAGATTCAATGCCCAGGTGTTACTTACCAGGGTACAGCAAGGCTTTCTTCCAATCTGCAATAAAACGTACCCGAGACAGTTGAGTACTGACCTGGGCCTCACACTTTCTCCCTTTCCCCCTTTCTTCTCGGTTATCCATAGCAGTCATCTTTAAACATTTTAGTCCCCTCATCCCCACCCCACAAGGGTACTGAGGGGGAGTTGGCATCAGGGCACCTGGTTTCTTACCTTCTCTGTACAGTGCCTTCCGCTGATCTGAAAGAAATAACACTCCATGAGTGGCTTGGAGTGGCGGGAAAGAGAAACAAACGCTAAGAAACCACACTCACCCAGCTCAGCCTGGAGGTCATCTGAAAGAAAGGGAAGATGTAAAATCCATCAAGCTGGGTCTCAGCGACCCCAAGCCTGGAAGCTAAATGAATTAGGGTTGGCTTTTCTTTAGGGGATGAACATGCACATATGGCCACTGTACACCGGTAAGGTGCCCTGGGAGTTTAGTGTCTTAGGTTTTCCTATCAAGCAGGCTCTTGACCAATTCATAGGAAAAGAAACAGCAGCACCCTCTGGAGGAAGGGTGGGGTATGGGCACATGGGTTTGAAGAACAGGGTGTGAAGGCATGGGCTGTGGTTTTTGAGGCAGCACTTCAGAGGCCCTAGGTCCACTCCTCTTGGCCCTCTGGTCCTCTGCAATGACCATGGCTCTGTGGGGCACCCGCCCCCGCCCCCGCCCCCGCCCCCACCCCCCACGCGCCTCCCTAGCTCCTTCCATTTCCTCAGCCTTTCTACAACCCTCTGACTTACTCTGTGGTCTCCGTCTTTACCTCTTTTCTTCAGTGCGGTTTTCACTTCCTTCTTCGTCTGAAGCATTTCCAGCAGTTCTTCTGACTTTTTCTCCATCTCTCGCCTTTTGGCTAGGTGCTCTTTCCAGCCAGCCAGGCTAATCCCACTGAACAGAATCAGTAGTGTGGAGAACAGGCATGATAGAGCTACGTTCCATGGAGAAGTCCTGGGGAAGAAGGGCTCTGATAGGGTGCATATAGACAGTCGGAAAATGGACAGAGGCAGCTCCTTTCAGTCCCCCCACCCCTTCCCCTCTCCTGCCTGGGAGTTTGGTCCTCACTAACCTGGGAGGAAGATGGCCTTCACTTTCTCCTGGTCATGGAGGGGATTTTGGATGGAGCAGGTCACATTGCCCACAGCTCTATCTGTGACCAAAAGAGACGCTACCACGTGGAACAGCCCATCTCCGTCTAGGGTCTGTGACTCAAAGGAGGACAGTAGAGTGTTCCCAGCATTGTTTCTCCACTGTACCCTGGGTTTTGGGAACCAGCCACTTGAGGAACAGGACACTTGTATCCCATTGTTCTCAGGCCCTGTCATGTGAACGAGAGGGACAGAGCCTAACCCTGAGGAGAGAAGACTCCTGGTTGAGGCTTGTGGTCCCTGGAGGCTACAGTGTGAGAGGGAAGGTGACCTTACTATACTGAAGAGCAGCCTGGAACTCAGAGGTCAGCTGAGGCTGCCCTGAGACTCTGATCTTAGCTCACTGTCCTTGCATGTGCTTGGACTCAGAGAGGTTAGGGGTCATTGTAGGAAAAGTTAAAACTTGAAGATGGGTCTAATTGTATTTTCTGTCTTGATTTACTGAACGTTAATGTCAGAGTTACTACCAAATATACTGTCTGGGATCTTGTAGGATATGGAAACAGGTTCAGAGGGTTGTACAAATGCATTAGTCAGCAGAGTGCTTGTTGTGCAACTATGAGGACCTGAATTCACCCTCCCAAACCCACATGAAAACCTGGTTGTGGTAGCACCAGCTCAGGGACCAGAAACAGGTGGGCACTGGGCTTACTGACCACCAGCCTAGCTGAGTTGGTCAGTGAGAGTCCTGCCTCAGAAAACAAGGTGGAAAGAGACCTGAGGGTGACCTCTGCCTTCATACATACAAAATTATACACATATGTGCGCCTACACACACACACACACACACACACACACACACACACACACACACACACACACCCCCCTTAGGTTCAGAAATGTTAAGTCTGTGATGTTAAGCTCTGATGGCAGACAATCTCACTCTCACTGGACACTGCAGTGATATTCCACAGATATATCAACACATCCAGGATTACAGGCAGCTCGAGGTTGGGTGTAAGGAGGGTTACAGACAGTTTGCTTTTTGTCTTACATCACAACCAACACCCTGTGCCGAACTCACATACCTATGACACGCAGCTCCATGACAGCCTCTTGGGAGGTGAAGCCATGTGTAACTTGACAGTGATACAAGCCATCATCAGAAGCCTGGACCTGTTGTATCTGCAGAGCTACATTTCCCATGGCGATGGCATCTCTCACCATCTGGGTTCTGCCTTGGTACTCCTGCATCTGCATATCTCCTTGCTCCTGTCCATCATGGAACACCAGCACAGCAGGGGTGAGCTGGGCACGGTACCAGCGGATGTACATGTGGGATGCACTCTGTGCAGGAGACAGCTTGCACGCAGGGCAGGGAGGCATCAGTCCCAAGAAGGACCGTGATGGGCTCAGCTGGTCCCCTCACAGCAAACGAAGACACTTCTGGGGACCAGGGACAGATTATGGAAGCAAGTTAGAGATATGAGACTTCAAACAAACAATCCTGATTTTTCATATTTAGGGAACTAAACATATTTCTCTTTGTATTACTTTTTTAAAGTATTAAAAATTTAAGCTGGACGGTGATGGCACACATCTTTAATCCCAGCACTCAGGAGACAGAGGCAGGTGGATCTCTATGAGTCTGAGGTCAATCTGGTCTACAGAGTGAGTTCCAAGACAGAGGTACACAGAAAAACTTTTTCTCAAAAAAGCATTAAATTTTAATAGATAAAAATTTAATAGTTATATAAATGTGTATAAATATCTGTCTCTGTGTATATATGTATGTATGTGTATTTGTGTGTTCTTGGGACTTTTACAATATCAACACTTATTCAGAAATGTCAATTTCTTCAGTATTTAGAATCTACTGAAATACACAGCCTTATCTCATTGTAAGGTTTAGGAAATGGGCATTCCTCATGTATGTCAACATAGCAAAAATCACAAAAACAACAGGAGAGACAGAGATAGATAGATAGATAGATAGATAGATAGATAGAGAGAGAGAGATAGATAGATAGAGCCCTATAAACCTAAAATGAGGTCACTCTGGGATGAGGAGAGTTCCGGCAGTCAGATGTGCTGGGGAACTTTGTGTGGATTTAGAGCTGGCAGCCCTGGCTGTCATCACAGAGAGTGATGCTCTGGTGATCATTGCTAGACTGGGGGCAGGCTCTTTTCTGTTCTACATTGCTTCCAATTGTGTGGTGCCTCTGTGACTCAGAGGATGTGTGTTCTCATCCACCTAACACTGATGTCATATGTCATATATGTGCAATTGAGAAAGACTGTTTCACTTTGGGTGAAGCCACAGTGCTGTGGTGAATCATGGTTTCACATGAATGCAATCATGCATCGGTTTTGGCAATGGAGGACTTCCAATTATTTTCCAATTATTTTAGAGCTTATAGTTAGCTATACTCTATTTTTAATAATCTATAACATTTTGGTCAATCTTCTAATGGGTAACATTTATAACTCTTCCACCTTATTACTATAAACAATACTATAATAAACTTCACACATATGCATACACATACACACAAATACACATACATGTATACATACATCTATAAATACAAATACACAGACCCCCCCCAAGTGTTTTTACACAAAATTTACAGAATTTTGAATCAGCATTTGTGGATATTAGTGTCTGATGTTAGACCAGTTCTCTAGCATGTGTTTGATGGTAAACCAGTTGTCTAGAATGTATAGCCCTGAGTTTCATCTGGATTTTTATATTTACCACCTGACATCAGATTCAGGAAATAATACTTGACTGTGCCATTCACATGAACTCCTTTCTGAGTTCTCTCTGGAGTCTGGGAACTTCATCTAGAGGATGCTTCTGCTTTATGAAGGAAGGGCCAGTGTCCCAGAGAGAATAAGTGAATAAGTGATTTATTCAAGGTCACAACCAAGAATTGTGAATAAAAACTCTTTGTTTTCCTATGCACACAGGACCCCACAATGCACACTTTCTCTGCCACAGTAGCCCAAACTCTCAAGCCATAAGCCAAACCAACCACCTCCCCTTTAAACTACTTCTCGTCTGTTAGCTGGCCACAGCAAGGAGGGAACTGACACACCCTGTGAACCTCATGAAGGCTATCTCAACAGACACAGGAGTCATTAACAGGCTTCACACTCAGTGAAGGTTTAGGTAAATGTCACAGTTCTGAGTTTTATAAAAACAAAACAAAACAATAACAACAACAACCAAACAAAACTACCCAAAAGATCAGGGAGAACATTTTCTTGGCTGAGTGACTGCATTTACTTGAGAGAAGTCATTAAAAACAAGACAATGAATACAGAGCAGGAGGCAGAGTACTGACCTCCTGAGACTCCAGTAGATGCAAGGAGGAGCAGAGGGAGGAGACAGCCAGCTAGAGGGGAGGTGGGAGAGCCCTTCATCTCCAGAGGGTAATGTCAAGGCCAAGTTCACCTGTAGGAGGGCAAAAGGTGGAGGTTCTCAGGAAAAACCTCCAGTAATTCACAGGTTTCTAACTGTGTCTCCTACAAAACCTTTAAGACTAAACCCACCAACCCCACCCTTCCTCAAGGCCTTTCATGTCCTCCCTTTATTCTGAAGACCAGCAGTTTCCTCATGGGCACAGGAACTGCCAAGCATTTTCTGTGCCTGGGGAGGGGCTCTCTTGCCTTTCTGTGGGTCCATGGTCTCACAGGGGTTCTCGGAGCTGGATTCCCTGAGCTTAGTGTAGGGCAGTGGAGTCACACAAGAAAGTAGACCACTCCCACATCCAGTCTATCTTCATTCTTCTTTCATTTATTTATTTCCCAACAAAGGGACCATTTCTCATTACCCCCCTGTGACCACAGTCCCCCCTTTTTTCCAGGCCCATACCTCCCTTGGACAGACCTGCTCATAGTCACAAACTCCTCACTCACCGTTTGGACCGAGCTGTGGGTTCCTGGAAGCTCCTGGGATCCTCAGTGATCTGAATCCTGGCCCTGGCAACCATCTGCACCTGTGTTACCGCGGTCAGAACTCAAGGGTGTGGGCATGTCAAGAGTTTTAGAGATTTCTTTGTATGGAGTTCACACAGGGTTTCTCCCCCAGGCTCTGGCTTTAGAGTTTCTCCCAGAGGAGTCTAGGAGGAAGTTGCAGTCATCTCCAGCTACTTCTCTTCAGTCATCTCTTCAACCACTTCAAGAGTGGAAACAAATGTCCAGGGACTTTGCACTGGGATGAGCCAGAAAGTAAGTGACCGTAAACCACTTTGGAGATTCCTCACTGTAAGCTGCCTCCTATATTACCAGGAGAGGCAATCAGATCTGATCAGACCTGAGGGTCACTCACATGGTTAATTGATTTAGAGACTAAACCCAAGCATGCTTCTTCCTCTGCTCCATGACTGACTTCTGACAGAAAGTGTAGTGCCTCAGTTACTACATGAACTACACCAGACCACGACCTAAACTAAAACAAAATGACAGCCAACAGAGGGCTCTGTCAACTCTCAATAGATTTGCAGTTAAAAAATGTATTTTGTATGTATGGGTGCACACATGTGCACCACATATGTGCAAAGTCCACGGAGGACAGAAGGGGATGTCAGATGCCCAAAACCAGAGTTACAGGCAGTTGTGAGATGCCATGTGGGTGCTGGGAACTAAACCCAGGTCTTCAGCAAGAGCAGACAGTGCTCCTAACCATCTAGCTGCCTCTCCATTCCCCCGAGTTTGCATTTTCATTTTCTTCTGTATATTGTCACCTCTCAGCAACTGCTGAAAGTTACACGTTCTTAGTGAATCTCTCCATTCATAACGGAATCATTTTCTTCAAATGATTTCTCTTCAAGGCTTACTTTTCAATTTTAAGTCATCATCGTCATATACAGTTTTGTTAGAAAACATCTATCTGTATTTGTTTCATTCTTGTATGTCTCTTATGGCCTGCTTGTGGGTGTTCAATCTTAGATCTAGAATTCAAGGTTATAAACTATTGTTTTCTTTCCTCCCTTTTAAAGAATTACTTTATTTTTAGGTATGTGTCTGTGTTGTGCATGCTGTGTGTGTGTGTGTGTGTGTGTGTGTGTTTATGTTTTGTGCACATGAACACAAATGTCCTAGGATTCCATCAGATCTCATGGAGCTGTAGTCACAGGCAGTTGTGAGCTTCCTGGTGTGGGTGTTGGGAATCGAACCAAACTCAGATTCCCCTGGAGTAGTATGTACTTTTAGCCACTGAGCCATCCATCTCTCCAGCCAGATTACAACTTTCTTTACCCCTTGTGTCATTCTGAGCAGGAACATGATTGCTCTGGAATCCACAGGCTTGAAGGACAGCAAGCTTTTTTTCTCCTTGCCCACAACATGGGAGTAAGAAGGGAAGGACCAGCTGAGGGCTGCCCATGCTGTGTACGCCCCAACTGGATGACAAAGATTTAATTAATGTCCATGAAGGAAATTTCTAGGCCTAAATGAATGAAAATCAGAAAGTTGAAACATGTTTATGTCTTTTCAATTATTATTATTATTATTATTATTATTATTATTATTTTGATGAATGAGAGAACTGACCAGGAGATGACAATGTATCAAAGCATCAGATAAACTCATGTACCTAGAGCAGAAACAACCTCCAACTACATGGTGACAAACCGATGAACTCATTATGTTGTACTTTGAAATTGAACCAGGGTTTTTTTTTTTTTTTTTTTTTTTTTTCCAGACAGAATTTCTTTGTGTAGCCCTGGCTGTTCTGGAACTCACTCTGTAGACATCTTCCTGCCTCTGCCTCCCAAGTGCTGGGATTAAATGTGTGGGCCACCATTGCCTAGCCCATACCAGTTTTTAAAAGTCTAATTTTAAATTAGGCACTTCATTTAACTTTGTCCTTTGAAAGACAAACAGGCTGTCTTTCTCACTTGAGAACTGTGTCTCTCATTTGAGGTCAGCCTCATCTTCAACTGATGCTACCTGGTGTGGTTCATTTACCTTTACCGAAGAATTTTGTTTTTATGTGACAGGGTCTCCCTGTGTAGCTCTGGATGTCTTGGAACTTCCTATGTAGACCAAGCTGGTCTTGAACTCACAGAGATCCACCTGATTAAAGGTCTGCACTAACACACGCAGTCCTTTATTGAAAAAAAAATATTAAATGAAAGAGGGTGGGCAAACCATCTTGTTGTATAAGAATACTGATGGCATAGGCTAGCAAAATATTTTAAGTGTGGAAAAGAACAGAAGATTATTTTAAAGGAAAAATATATAACTGTCAAATGTATTTGCAGTGCCTAAAAGTTCTAAATATGCCTGGAGCATATATAAATCAAAGAGAAGTATACAGTTCCTATGGTAAAGCCATCTTCCTTTTAAAAAATAATGTTTTTTATTAATCTTCGAGAATTTCATACAATGTATTTTGATTGTATCCACTCCCCTCCCTCCAACTCTTCTGAGATCTACCGCAATCTCTTTACCCAACATTGTGTTTTCGTTCTCTCTCTCTCTCTGACTACACTTGGGAGTGGGACCTGCCCTATAGTGTGGTCAGTAAAGCAAGAATCAGGTTATTAAGAACACTGATCCTCCTCCTAGCAGCTATTAAATGCCTATAGATTCTCGGCTAGGGGTGGGACTTGGTGCCCACCCCCTCCTCCACGCTGTTTATCTATCTCCTTTATTGTAGATACAGGGAGTCCATTAGGTGGTGAAGGAGTGTACCATCTCAGGAAGAGGTCAGAGGTAACCGATCTCAAGATTATCACAGCACTTGCCATTACCATTATCAGGTGATTGAACACAGAGCATAGGCCAAGTCTGACCTTTAGAAGCAGGTCTGTAATGTGCTAATCATCTGCTCATATTCCTGTTGGCTAATGATATATTCATGCTTATCTGCCATCTTCTCCCTGGGCAACCTTTGCTATTTTTTTCTGACTAGGTTAGACTTTCTTGCTTCTACTTTGGACTCTCAGGGCTGTTCTCCTTCAGGAGGCTGAAGTCTACTTGGAGTTGGTTCTTGCTTCTTCAGCTTGGATCTGTTCCACTTCACTTAGGACCACTCCTTGGGCAACTCTGGGAAGATGGGTTGTGCCACAGAGTGTTTGCTGTTGTCCAGAACTTTGTCCTCCTTACCTGGGCCATGGTGTGGTGGCAAATACTACTGGAAGAGTTATAATAATATAAAAATGATGCAGTCAAGTTTAATAATATCTCTTCCATCCAAGAAATGGGGGAGGGAATGAGCCCAGAGACTTAAAAGCAAACTCATTTGCACTCTGAAAAGCAGCATGTCTGTTACTTGGGGATACTGGGTCCTTCCCGCAGGAATCAGCAATCCTGGCATTGCTGTTTTTATGTGGGTCCCTCCAGCCATGATGGTCACCGACTCACATTCTGGAACCATGAGTCCCCGATTAAATGCTTTCTTGTATAACTTACTTTGGTCATGGTGTTTTGTCACAGTAATAGAATAGTAACTGAGACAGATTGTTTAAGAGGTTACTGGTAAAGGCATGGAAATATGGTGTTCTGTGAGACACCAGTACATGGCATAAATAGGTATAAAACACCTTATGAGAAAATGAAATATTAGCACTTTTTTTCTGACACCGTTTTATTGCCCTTCCATAACCCAGCTGCAGGCACACTTGGATAGAGGCCACATGGCAGGCTTTGGTCTAATCTTTTTAAAACTTATTTTTATTTTATTTGTATGGATGTTTTGCCTGCATGTATGCCTGGGCACCAGGTGCATTTGTGTTCCCGGTGCCCTCAGAGGCTAGAAGAGGACACCAGATCCCCTGGAACTGGAGTTATAGATGGTTGTGAGCCACCGTGTTGGTACTGGGAATCAAACTCAGGTCCTCTGCAAGAGCAGCCAGTGCTCTTAACCACTGAGCTATTTCTCCGTCCTTGCTCTGATTTGTAGTGTAGGTGCTGGGTCTTCTGTAATTGTGAGTCATAGTCAGTTCTCTTTCTTGTGGAAAAAGAAGAAGAAGAAGAAAAAAAAAAACCCCTTTCCTTCCACCTACAGGTGGGTGATTCGACCCCCTGGAGCGTATAGATAGGACATTTCTAGAAAAACCCATCCAGGTCTCAGACAAGTGGTGTTTCTCTCCAGATCTAGGTCCCCCTTCTTATCCTCACAATGGGTCCAGAAGATGATGGGATTAAGCCTCTGTGCACAGGCGAGGGATGGTCCCCAGCCTGGAGAGACGGCAGAAGAATGCAAAGGGAGAGAAGATGCCATTGCTGTGTGAGGGTGAGACCAAGATTACGATGGGCTGACTCCAGTAGGGTGTCCTTCACTGTGAGCCACAGGAATGGGTCCTGCCCTTTTGGACAACAGCAGGTGAAGCCACTCCTGTGCTGCTCATTGAGAGGAAAGATGGGAAGGAGGATGGGGTATTCGGGAAGTGGCTACACCGGGCTTGCACAGTGCTTTTCCTTCCTTCCTTCCTTCCTTCCTTCCTTCTTTCCTTCCTTCCTTTCTCAGAACCTCTTGTCAGAGGGAAGCTCTCATGTGGCTTTCATCATTCTTGAGACTTTGCTGATTGCTGTGGTGATTTTGGTCTGTAAGGAAACACAGAGGAGGAAATTACAGGCACCAAGGACAGAGAGAGAGAGAGAGAGAGAGAGAGAGAGAGAGAGAGAGAGAGAGAGAGAGAGAGAGAGAGGAGAGGAGACGCTGGAGCAGATAGAGCAATGTCCCAGGGCTTCCAGCTGTGTGGAGGACTGAGATGAAATGCTGACAAACCACAGAGCCCAGAACCCCTACAGAAAAATACACAGTAGGATTAATCAGAGAGAAAAATGACCCACACAGTTTTCAATTAAGATACATTTGTGGAGCTAGGTAATAGAAGGGGCAGGTCACATCTGTGAATAATACATATAAACTAGAAATAAATGCTAGATTTCTGCCCTGAAGAATGATTTTTAAATTTGGTGTTGGCTGCTCTTCTTGTTCATTGTATCAGCAAGGTGTCCCTTTCCAATCTGGCACCATGGCTGGGCTCACCGTCATCAATGTTCTGCCGTTATCTCCTCCTGTTCATTTTTTGGTCTTCCATCCAAGATAGACCAAATGCTGGAAACCAGCAGTTCTCTTAATTAACTCCCAAACCATCTCTCCCTCTGGTTCCTCTTCTCCATCTGTACTGAGGTATCATGGCCTCATTGTCACCCAGAGGCCAGATAAGGCTGAGAGAGTGAAGTACCAGGATCCCAACTACCAGATCCAAGGGAGCCTCACAATTCCCAGAGCCATCTCTCTAGCCCCCGAGTAATTGTGTTTTAACCCCATTGCTGCTGCATCTATAAACTCCAAGCTCACTCATCACGGAGCCTTAATGACACGAACATAAGCCAGGGACTCTTGTGACTCACCAGTTGCTGAAGAATGGCCGAGTGCCTGCCTAGTTCTATTCACCCACTTACCTTTCGAATGACGTTTCACCTTGATCAGGTCAATGGCCATGGCAAGAGGCAGCACCAGAACAGGCAGGGCCATCCATAACAAAGCTATCTTGGAGTCTGAAATGCAAACCCCAGTAAGCCATGAGACTTGGAAAATGTGAAGATGTCTCTTTTCACAGGAGCAGCCTGAGGACTGGGTCTCTCCTGTTTCACAGAAGTCAAGCGGAGCAGGCAAATTTAGCTTTGGTGCCCTGCCCACTTTCCTCCTCTTTTTCCAATTACATTGTCACATCACAGAATGACTGGAGTAATTATTGTGGTGAAACATAAAGTCTCCCGGGCTATATATATAACTACAAGAGTTTTAGGGAAAATTAATTTCTAGTGCAGAAAAAATTCAGGAGGGGGAGAGAGAGAGGGAGAGAGAGAGAGAAACTCAGAGGTGACTTGAGGATAACCTTTGCAGGAGACATTGATTTATTTTTAAAAGATTTATTTTAAAATACCCCACCAATGAGAATAAAATAAAATAGGAGGAGGAAAAGAAAAAAGGAGACAAGAGAAGGAAAATTGGAGAAGGAGGAAGAGGAGGAGGAAGGGGGAGGAAGAGAAGATTAAGGAGAGGAACTGGGAAGGGAGGTTCGCAGCAGAGCAGCAGCAAGCTAAGAGCTATATGTCCAGCACTCGCCATGTGGAGGCAGGAGGATCAGTCTTTCAAACAAACAAAACAAAAACAAACAAACAAACAAACAAAACAAAAACAAAACGGAGACCCCTGTAAGTCCGTAGCAATCCGTTTTGACACTTAGTTCCCATGACAGAGGAAGGCATACCAACCTGAGAGAGGAAACCGTGCAGCTTTCTCCTCGCCTCCAGGGAGGCCGATGGAGCAGGTCACATTCACCACGGAGCTATTTGTGACCAGCAGGAGCGTCTCCACCTGAAACAGTCCCTGGCTTCCTTGGCAGAAGGCCTCTGAACTCGATGGTACAGCCCTTCCGCCTCTGTCCCTCCACTGCACGTGGGGCCGCGGGAACCACCCATCAGACGTACACCTCAGCTGCAGGCCTCCATCCTTCAGGACCTCCCGGGTGATCCGTGGGGTGGAACCCACCGCTGGGGACAGAGACCAGGGCAGCAGAGATGAAGCAGAGTGTGGTCAGCAACTACCCAAGGGAGGGGGAGGGGAGAGGGCTTGGGGAGGACTGCAGAGCTCTGGGCCAATGGCTGCCCCTGGGAACTGGGACTGGCTACAGGATTTCTTGTTCTGCTTTTTTCTGTTTTCTATTCCAAAGTCTTCTGGGATAGATTAGAAGGAGGTTAGGAGATACATACATACATACATACATACATACATACATACATACATACTATTCCCATCTCTTTCCTCCTGACCCTAAAAACAAAGTGGCTTTGATCAGACATGAGAGACATGGACATTGTGGAAGAAACTGACATTTCTCAAAGCAGGGGCAGAAAGTGATGTAGAAATTCTCTAGGCATTTCACACATCTGCTCATTAATTTAGACTGGGACTCCGAGAAATATGAAGGATAGCCAAGATTTGGGCCTATGTCCTCGATGGCATTTGTTGACCTTGGAGAGCTGGTTCTAGGGTGACTTCTGCCTGCCTCTGAGCACAGCAAGTCTGTCAGTCTTTACAAATTTTGTGTATGTGGCAGATCTACCTGCGTCTTCAAATCACCACACTTTCTGGACACTACATATTTCCCAGAATCTCAGTAACACTCTGAAATAATGTACCTTGCATTAAATTATGGGGAATATTCTCAGATTTCCTGGAACCTATGCCTATTTTATGGAGGTGTTTGAGAGTCCTACTTTCCTGATTGTCCTATACTTAAAAATTTAAACCACAGGAAATGCCTGGTACTGCCAGTCTGGCCAAGAACTCATGGTGGTGAAACTTGTAGTCCCAAGGGAGACTCTACTGTTTGTTATTTTGCTAAATGGACACAGTATCAAACTGCCTTCCAAATTGTTTATCTCTGTACCCAGAGATTAGCACAGTTCTCAGACCTCATCAGAAAATTTTCTCTGTACATCGAGTGGTGGTTAAGATAGAAGCTCATATACCAACCCAGTCTAGACACAGGAGTGTGGTGGGTGGAGAGCTGCCTTGGTCCTGCCTCAACTAGATGATGGGACATACTTAGTAGACTTCCTATGTGAGAGGCCTTACTCTCTCTGTGGAGCAGATGGGAGAAGAGGGGAGTGGAGGGTGTGGGAGAAAAGGAGGGAGGGAGAACTGGGGTTGGAATGTAAAATGTAAGTTAAAAAAAGAGAGAAAAGAATATCACAGGAATAAACTGTAATATTGTAGAGTCCCACATGATGTAATGAGTTAAATAAAATCTTTGACACACATACACACACAAGAATTAAAAACAAAAGATAGAAGCTCACAACTGTCAATGTCAGAGAAGTGTCAGTGGTGTGCTCAGCCATAAATAGGACATCCGAGGCTGGCTCCCATTACCTAGGGCTAAGCCACCACCATGGAAGAGTGAGGTAGGAAGGTGGTAAGAGTCAGAGGTTTGGGATGGGCACTGGAACTGTCTGACTGTGACAGGACCACTGTCTTCACAGGCCTGCACAAGATCAAGCCTGTTAGCATTCCGGCACAGAAGAGGGAGGGGATCAGGAGCCCCACTTATGGCTGAGGAGCTGTGGACAGTTGATCGCTTCAGGGGAGGGGTGAGCCAGTTCTCTTTGAGGGTGTGGCTCCTGGCGGGCTGACCATGATTCAGTGGATGGCTCCATGCCCATGAGTATATGGCATGAACTGGAGTTGATGGGTTAGTAAATAAATAAATAAATAAATAAATAAATAAATAAATAAATAAATAATAAAAGGCTAGGAAGTTGGAAGGTAAAGAAGGAAGGGTAGATCTTGGAGGAGTTAAGTGGGAAATTGTGGGGTGAATATGATTAAAATACATGGTTTGAAATTCTCAGAGAATATGTGGTGATACATTGTTTATGATCTAATAAAGACATCCATCGGGGATCAAAATGCAAAGCCAGCCACAGCCATAGAGCCAGGCAATGGTGACACATACCTTTAATCCAGGACTCAGGAGATCTCTGTGAGTACAAGATCACCCTGGGCTATACTAGAGTGAATCAGCCAGAAAGAATAACAAAGCTCACACCTTTAATCACAGCACTAAGGAGTTAAAAGGAAGAAGCCAAAGGTCTCAGTGAGATTTGTTTCCAGACAGGGAGAGCATTGAACTCTGAGGATTTGTGGAGACAGGCTCACCCTTTCTTTGCTGCATTGCTTTTCTGATCTTCAACTTGAAACCCAATATCTGTCTCTGGGTTTTTTTTATTATTCATATTACTTGATATATATATATATATCAAGTATATATATATATATACTTGATATATATATATATCAAATCAGCATTCCTGAAGTTGTGATCTTGAAGTATCTATGGTGGTTGCTACACTGAAAGTTCAATATAAACTTGAAAATGAACAAGCATGGTGAATATTTTGGGTGCCAGAGAGATCTCCCAGACCAGCATCTGTCACAGTGTTAAGAAGCTGGAGAAGCCAAAGATCTGTCTGGAATCCTTACCCATCACCTGCACATTCACACGGGCCTCCTGGTAGACACCATCTTTTCCAAAAAGGCACCGGTACTGCCCATCATCTGAAGTTCTGGCATCATGTATCCGCAGGGTCAGCTTCCCCTCATGGATGGCATCAGCTGCCACCACAGTCCTCCCTCTGTATTCCACCATCTGCTCTTCAGCTGAGTGGGCCCCGCCCACATACACATGGACTGCGGGGTAACAGTGGGATCGGACCCACCTCACCTCCATGCTCTGAGCATCAGCTTGAGGTGACAGGTGACAAGTTAATTCTATGTTCTCTCCAACTCGTACAAGAATGGGTTGGGAAAGTCCAATGACCCTTGAGGTAGCTGTTAAATAAGCCAGACAGAGAACAAGGAATGAACCAACATGGAGAAGTAACTCTACCAATTGGGCACCCCAGGGAAAGCATGAGGCTCAGGGTCACAATTGGAGGAGGGTAGGACTCATGGTCTCAGGATGCCATGTTTAAGGAAAAACCTTGCTAATCTGAAGAGAACACTAGTTTAAGCCCAGGCTACCCACCAATAACAAAATGATTTTACCTCTAAAACTCTCAGAATAAAATGAATCCGCCACTTCAAATCTGGCTGACTTACACACCAAACCAGTCCATGCTTTGGAGTTTAAACTATAAAATTTACCTACTGCTACTCAAAGCCTAAGTTTGTTGTGGGATTAAATGAAGATTCTTTGGTGACCATGCAGTGTGAGCAGAGGTTAGGTTCGGAGATGTGAGGGTGTGGGAGGCCACACCACCCTCTGGTCATGGGCTAAAAGTGTGTGCCAGGTGAGTGTGTAGCAACAGAAACTGGAGAAACCCTTCCCTATGTGTGAAGGATGCTGTGGAGGCCTGTGTATGCCATTCCCTTCTCATACCAACTGCACCAGCACCAGGAGAGCCCTGCCTCTCTTTCTCACGGGGGAGGGGGGAGGAGGCAAGACTTTTGCTGTGGGTATGAGGCCAGCCTGGAGTACATTTCAAATAGAAAAGAGATAGACAAATGACAGACAGGTAGATGTTAAATATTTAGAAAGATGGTAGATGATGGTATTATAAATAGATGATAGGGCAATGATAGAGTAATAGATGATGGTGATATGTGATAGCTAGGTGATGGATTAAATATGTGAATGATAGAAAATTAGTAAATCATGGTACACATGTGATTGATAGATTAGATAGGTAGATAAGATAGGTGGGTGATAGATGATACTAGATGGTAAATAGATCTTTGTCACTGAGCATGAGGACTTTTCTGGGCTCCCCAAATCATTTGATGCTTCTCTCTGTTTCTCTCTGTCCCTGCTCTAATTTCTAACAATGTAGGAAACATACCTCATCACTACCATATTATGTGTTTTGATTATTGTTTTTGTTATTATTTACTGGCAAGACTACAATTAAGAAGCTGTTAAAGAAACCATCCCATTCTGCCTAAGCATGCGATTGGTTCCTGGGAGTAACTGGCATGGCACAGCAGGAGGATGTCTCAGTTGGAGGAATATCTTTATTATATTTCCAATTCATTGGACATCTATGAAGAAAAATCACACTGGAGTAAAATGTAGAACTTGAAAATTACTGAAATACTATGAACTGCCATCTAATCAAAATACACCATATGCTTTTCTCATACAAATGTTCATGAATTTTAACATATTATTTAAATATGATTAAAGAAAATACGGGTTACTGCTGAGCAGCCCCCCCCCACACACACAGTGCCCGAGGCAGAGCACTGACCTGGCAGGGCAATGGCGGCCTCCTTGGCCTCTTTAAGGCCATGGTTGTAGATGGAGCAGGAAATGGTCTCTGAAGTGTCATTCCTGACCACTAGTGTGTCTTCCACATAGAACAGCCCATCTTCACCCAGCACATGATTCTCAGACAAACTCAATAACTTTTCTCCCCAGCTGCCTTCCCAATAGACCTCAGGCTCAGGGAACCAGCCCTGGGATGTGCAAACGAGCTGGATCTCTCCTTCTCCAGGTCCTTCCACATGGATGTTTGGGGGAGATCCTAGGGCTAGAAATAGAGAGAGAGAGAGAGAGAGAGAGAGAGAGAGAGAGAGAGAGAGAGCACATCCTTGAAGTCCAGAACCCACAGAGTCCAGAGGGAACTGAGACCCCAAGTCCTTCACTGGGAGGAGGTGGGAGCCCAGGGCCGGAAGCAGGGTTACCAGGGTTTCTCCCTACTTCACTGAGTTCTGTTTTTATTAGTGTTATTGTTATTGTTATTATTATTATTTGTTCCCCAGTCTGTGTCTTTAAACTTTAGCATCTGACCATACTTTTCTTCAGATTCAGATGGTGAAAAGGGAGAGGAAGGAAACATGTCAATTCATTTAATGTCTCTGGTGCTGCAAAGATGTGGTGTGATTTATTCTCGATAGTGTCTGTGCCCTAGCTCTGCTTTTTCCCTTCCTCTATGTTCTCTGTACTGGGTGCCAGATCTGCCATTTTTGAATGACATCTGGACTCTGATTTAAGTTTGGTATGTATTATTAAGCTCAGACATCATGTTCATGGGCTATTTTTATTCCTTCTGTGCTCAGTTGCGATTTTGGCACCCAATAAATGCATGAAAAATTACTGTACCTTCACATTTTTTCCCCAGTGGGGAAGTCTAACTAATTTGTATAAATCATGAAGTGCCTTCTTTAATATCATAACTGTTTACTGACTGAGAGACTAAATGAATAAGCCTCTCACTTGCACCCAGAGGAAACACCTGGCTTAATTCTAAAAGTCCCTGAGTGTGACATGAATCAGTGTCTGGGTCAGCTTGCATCTCAGAAATACACAGATTCTCACATCCACTTTGAATCAAATGAACATAACAAAGGGAACAATTATAACTATGAGTATCAAGAAAAAGAAATGTTAAGTGTGGAAGTTTCTCAACAAAACTAAAAGCAAAATAGATGTGCAACCCCACTGTCCCACATCTAGGAGAACACCCTAGGGAGTTTAAGCCTACTTCATTCACTGCAGAACCCTTCCCAAGGCCCAGGTAAAAACCCAAGTTATAAGACCAACCTGGATATCCACTCACAAATGAGTAGGTAAAGAAAATGGTATGTGAATGTGCAATGTGTTTTGTTAAATTGTATTTTATGTGTATGGGTGTTGTCTGCATGTGCGTATGTACACCATGGGTGTGCCTGGTGCCTGTGGAGGCCAGAGAAGGCATTGGGTGCCCTGGAACTGGAGTTAAAGGAGGTTGTAGTTGCTCTGTTGGTGCGGGAAGAGCACCAAACACTCCTAACTACTCAACCAACGGTCTAGCACCCACAGTGTGGTTTATTCTCTCAAAAAGGATTAAATGAAGGTATTCACAGGGAATGGATAAAACTGGAGACCACCATATTAAGCAGAAGGAGATTATGGGGGTGGGGAAGGTAGACAGGAAAAGGCAAGGGGGTAAATATGGTCTACGTCCATGAAAAGCAAGTGAATCTGTCATGAGACCCACCACTTCACACAAGGAATGCATGCTAATGGGTATTTTAAAGGTGTTAGTAGCAAAGAAAGAGCTTCAGTGGTCAGAGAGACCATTGTCTCCAGAGAATCCTTTCCCTGGTGAAGTAGCTGGGTTTGCCCGACTCCCCTTCAGCATGGGGAGCAGTTATGACAGCTTGCACAAGACCCAAGCAAGCTCAAACTGGACAAAATTCCAGTGTAGAGGGGGAGATGGGCATGAATCCTACCACTAGTTAGAAGCAATTGGAGAGTGATAGCTTCTGGGAGAAGGGTCAGTTTACCTTAAGGGGTACAGCTCCTGTAGGCTGACCAAGCTCAGTAGATGGCCACATACCTAAGACAGCACAGACTGTACTGGATGAGGGGAGGAAGAAGAGGAGACAGAGCTGTACCAGTAGGGAAGGGAGTGGAATCTGGGATGAGTCAGGGAGGGGAAATACATGATCAGAAAACATTGTATGAAGCTCTCAAAGAATTAATAGAAGATGCAGAAGAGGGACTGGGAAGGTGGTTCAGTGGTTAAGACACTGGCTGCTCTTCTGGAGGACTTGGGCTTGATTCCCAGCATACATGTGGTGACTCACAGCCACCTGCAACTCTAGTTTCAGGGGACCTGACCCTCTTCTGGCCTCCCTGGTCACTGAGCACACACAGGATGCATAGACACACATAGGCGAAACACCCATACACAAAACATAAAAACAAATAATTCTTTAAAAATGAGTCAGGGGATCTTTCAGTAAGTTGAGTTGATGCTCTTGTGTAGATATTTACCTGCCACTTGGAGCAGGACGCTCGCCTCTCTCCAATAGTCCCCCTCCTGGAAGCGGCACCAGTATTGCCCATCGTCACCTGGCTGGATCTGGCGAATCTTCAGAGCCACACTTCCCTCATCAGTATTGGCCTCTGTCCACTCCACCCGGCCTCTGTACCCCTCCACCTGTAGCCCTGTCACCTCAGCTCCATCCCGGTGCACAATCACAGGCCTGTCGGGGTCGGAGCGGTACCACCTCACCTCCATGTGTGCCGTTGTCCTCTTGGGGAGGAGCTGACATGTCAGCAGGGCATCTTCCCCGACTTTGGCCAGGATAGGAAGGGCAGGACCAATGACCCTGAAGTCATCTACAGAGCAGGGAAAGGGAGATAGTTAGAGGACTGGGATGCTCCATTTGAGCAGCCGAGGTGCTGGGATTTGGTGCCAGGAGGGATTTCGTATCATTTCAGAGAATACAAGCATGAAAATCTATACATTTTCTGGTTTAAAAAGAAACTATGTATCCTAAAGTTTAAAAATTTGAGCATGAATGTTCACCAGCCTTGTAATTGGGAGGCAATTCCGTGGTTAAGGAACCTTTGAGATCTGGGAATTTTTTTTAAAGGATTTTATTTTTATTTATGCACCTTTGTGTGGGTAGACACATGTGTGCAGACCAGATGAGAGCATGAGATCCCTAGGAGCTGGGGTTACAGGTGGTTGTGAGCCATCTATTGTAGGTACTTGGAACTGAATTCGGCCTCTGGAAGGTGACTCAATAACTGAGTCACCTCTTTTGCCCTGAGATTTGCACTCTTAAACCACCCAACTTTAAGACACTATCAGTGACAACACCTCTGGGCTTCACCCCCAAATAAATTAATAGGTGAGTTGATGTTCCCATGGGGAACTTTATCTTGATTCTATAGCCATTTTTAATTTGGGTAAATCAACAGTGCCACTAGGGTCCTGCGGCCACCCAGGGTCGCTCATTCCAGGGAGGGAACTGACTTGGTTTTGTTTCCCTCCTTCTGGAGAAGGCAAAAGTCCAGTAAGCAGCAAATGTGGGCTTCACAGAGGGTTAGAGGCATGGCTTGCCCAGGAAGTTTGAGTCTTCTGATCAAATTTTAAGTCAGCTACCTTGATATCTGAAGATGATTAATAATTCTGTAAGTTGCTGTCTTAGGGTTTCTATTGATGCGTTGAAACACCATGACCGAAGAGTAGTTTGGGGAAGAAAGTGTTTATCTGGCTCACACTTCAGCATTGCTGTTCATGGCTGAAGGAAATCGGGACAGGAACAGGGCAGGATCCTGGAAGCAGGAGCTGCTTACTGGCTTGTTCTCCCTGGTGTGCTCAACCCAACTTCTTGTAGAACCTAGGACCAGCAGCCCAGGGATGGCACCACCCACCATGCGCTGGGCCTTCCCATATTGATTACTAATTAAGCAAATGCCTTACAGCTGGATCTTATCAAGGCATTTCCTCAACTGAGGCTCCTTCCTCTGATGACTCTAGGTTGTATCAAATTGACACACAGAACTAGCTAGTACAGTTGCTATGCCTAAAAAATTCAAATGTCATGTATGCCACGTTCTTCCTCTGCAGCCCCAACGGGAATATCAGGAGTTTAAGGTCATCTGGGCTACCATGTGAGTTAGAGGCCAGCCTGGGCTATGGGACCCTGTCTATAGAAAGGGAGCTAAGCAGGGAAAGGTCTTGCAGCCAAGCTTCAAGAATGGAGTTCAAGTCCAAGGGAACACATGGTGGAAGAAGAGAAACAGCTTTGGCAAATTGTCTCCTAACTTCCACACACAAGCCACACTATGTATGTGAAACCCCCCCTCCCCCGCCCCCATGTAACATTAAAGCTAATAAAAGTAGTCATAAGAATAAATTTATTCTTTAAGGTGCAATAAAATAGATACAGCTCAAAAAATGCTCTCCAGAACTTAAACAAAGATCTTGTATCACCCGCCGCTGGGGTTTACATGTTAAGTCTTACCCACAGTGTTAAGAGCACGGGATGGAAACTGCGCATGCTCCAGCTACCAAGCAACGCATGCTCTCCCGGTGACTTTCACTGCGGTCTAAAGTTGTTACTCATGCCCAAGAGATGAGCAACTAAGTCAAGAGCTTTCCAGAGCCGGGGTGGAAAGCCCAGCGTGAGCCCTGGACCCTGAGTTACTGCACTATCTGGTTGGGTTGTGCATCTTAGATCCGCAGGGCGTGCCAGCAAGGGAGGCAGGGACCCTACCTGGGTGCTTCATAGTCAGCAGAATGAAGAGCAAGGACGCAGCCACACCAGATAGACTGTACCCTGGACAATCCACCATCCTCCCTGGAGCAAACACAGGAGAAAGTGCAGCTGTGATACACCCAGCATGCCCTGCGATTTCTGCACCATTTGCTGTTTGTCAACTTGACACAAGCTAGCGCAGTGGTTCTCAACCTACCCAATGATGTGGCCCTTTAATACAGCTCCTCATGTGGTAACCCCCAACCATAAAATCGTTTTCTTGTTGCCACTTCATAACTCTAATTTTGATAGTCATAAATAATAATATAAACATCTGTGTATTCCGATGGTCTCAGGTCACCCCTGTGAAAGGTTCATTTGACTCTAAGGAGTCGCCACCCACAGGTTGAGAAATGCTGAGCTAGAAGAGGGGCCCTCAGTGGAGGAACTGCCTCCATCAGATTGGCTTGTGGGCAAGTCTATACTGTTTTCTTGTTTAATGATCCATGGGGGACGGTCCAGCCCACTGAGCATGGTGCCACCCCTGGACAGGTGGGCCTGCATGATATAAAAAAACAAGCCAGTAAGCAATGTTGCTGAATGGTCTCTACTTCAGTGCCTGCCTCCAGGTTCCTGCTTTGACTTCCCATCATGGTAGATGGTAGGCTTTCCTCCCCAGGTTGCTTTTGCTCTTGATATTTAGCATTGAAACAGAGAGCAAGCTAGGACAATGCTATCTTAGTAAACAGCCAACACCAGATCTGTCACCGCCAAACTATGGTCTGCTTCCATTCTTTACAGTTATTATTGATCACATCTGACCTCTCCCTATGAGTTACTCCTTAGGATCCAACCTTCTCAGGTCTCACATAGGCCAGGTTGGCTTCTAACTTGCTGTGTAGCCAAGGATGGCCTCGAAACGCCTCCCTCTACCTCTTGCGAGTTTTGAGATTGAAATTCCACACACCAGGAGGCAAATACTGAAGAGGATGAGGCAGGGGGATGTCCAGTTTGAGGCCAACCTGAGTGGAGGGAAATTTTCTGATCAGAACGAATAGAGCCCAGAGCTAAAGAGAGACTAACAATAAAAATAGAAAGACACAGCCTGGTGGGATGGCTCACTATAATCCCAGCACTCTGAAGGCTGAGGCAGGAGGGTTACCATGAGTTGGAAGTCAGCATGAGTAACAGCCTACCTCAGAACACCGCTCTCTGAAAAAAATGTGCAGTGGAGATCAACAGGAAGTGAGAGCCTGACAGAACGCTGGCTGTGCATAGGCCTTACTTCCTCATGTTCGTAGAGTTCCCCAAACCCCATGTCTACCTTTCTCTAGAGACTCTCCAAGCCACTCACCGTCTCTCTCTCCCCTTTGGGGTGAAATCAAGGCTGTTGAGTTGTGTTGTCTCACCCAATCAGAGGTGTGTTCTTCATCCACATAGCAGGTATCTAAAGACAGGTGAGCCCAGGACACACTGGCTGGAGAGGCAACTATGGAGCAGCCAGGGGAAGTGGAGGCATCTTTGGGTGAAGGGCGATTTGAATGTTCTCAACCCGGAGGCAAAGCCAAGTCCCCAAGGTTCACTCTAAATTAGGACTCCAGGCAGAACAGCACATACACCCTCAGCCATCGCAGTATGCTCAAAAGCGAAACTCAGAGTTCGTGGACTTTGCGCTCTGCTCTGACTTCAATAGACATCTAGGCACAGATATAACACTAGCATTTACCTCATCAGAACCCCAGCACTCAGGCTGTTCCCTGCTCCACACCTGTCCAGCAGGCAGGCAACCTGCTGTCAGGTAGCGCCCCACATCATGGCTACCATTGTCGTGCCCACCAGCTTGCTGAACATCTACCATCCCCCCACATGGGGCCAAACTCCCCTCAGAACACGGAGTCTTTGGTCTTGCATGGTTGGAAACATGACTGTCTATACCTGATTTTTTTAAGTAAAACAGTAAGGTTTAATTAGTTAAAAACAAGTTTGGGTGGGGGTTAGTGTCAGCATTACTTCTAGTAGCCAAGTTCTGAACATCTGGGAGAAGTCCACCAGATTCTCCCTGTACAAATCCCATTGTGCTTTCAAGACACTGAGCACAGAGTCCTCTGCCAGTACCAGGCCAACTTCTAGCCAGCATTGTTAGCTCAAAGATCACAGGGCATGAAGTCCACATCCATACCTGCCCCACAGACAGCTCCAGATCAGAGTCACCTGAGGGGTATGCTGCCCTGGGAGCCCAGGAGAAGGGTTCAAAGAGATGAGGGGTCTTTAGAAGGATCATCTGCGAGGTCATCAGAGGCAAAAGGGAGTCAAGGAAACCACAGCTGCACCCAGGAAAGAAGAAGGCTCATGACGCTGTCAGCCAGGCTCATAGAAGCAGATCATCTGAAGTTCATGGCTGAGCCCAGCAGGGCGGACTGCTAGACTAGAAACCACCTTTCAGCTCCAGCTTCGGGACCAGGTGTTCTGTGTCACCAATCTGGATATGATCCACTAATTTCCAGATCCTTGAGTCTGTTGCCCAGTATAATATCTGAGAATGTAGCTGCCAAGTCTTGGGGAGACAGAGCAAACGCAAGTGGGAGGGAGAAGTGACCTCCTGGGGCAATCTGCTTACCTGTGAGAAGTTGATGGTGAGAGTCTCCAGGCCTGTTATGATTTGGATGGTGGGGACAAAATCCCTGTCTTTTAACCATCCAGAGTTTCTGCTTCTCATCCCTGTAGTAACCAGGCCTTACAGAAATAAGACTGTGTGGGAGTAACTCCAGGGAAAGAGCAGCCATAGTGTCTCTAACCTGGATCTTAACCCTACTGAGAAGAAAACTAAGGCAGGGACATTCCTTCCCAGAGGTCAGAGCATCAGGCCAAGGTACCCTGTGTGCCACTTGGTGGTTTTACATATTTTTTTAAAAAAAAAATCTCTTTTGCTGGAAAACAAAATGTTTAACCAAGAAATTTTATAAGGTTCCTGACACAGTGTGTGGGTACAATGGAGAGTGTTGGGCACCCTGGTGTGTGCTCCTCTATCCACAGCCCTTCCTTGGGATTCCCCTGAAATCTTCCAGGCTAGAGAGGGGGTCTCTAGATCCACTCTCCAGAGCGGGGCAGAGCAGTGTTGAGCTTCCTTTGAAGAATTCTCTTCTTTATAACAGTGTAGTGGCAGAAGAACACAAAGCACTATGGTTGGGGTCCAGCTGTCTGCTTTGATTCCTTGTCTTTCAGGGTGTTCGGCAAATCCTGTGTCAGCTAGCACACAGCTACTGATCTTGATGTACAGATAGTGGGTTCAGAAGAGGCCCTGCAGTGCATCCTGGGAGGCTCACAAAAGGGATGGGGGGGGGTGGGAAGGAGAATACAAGGGCCATTTCTCCCTCAGAATAAAAGGGTTGTGCCCTGTTTGTAATCATTAGTTTTGTTTTGTGTGTGTTCTTTTTTTTTGATACAGGGTTTCTCTATGTAGTCTTGGATGTCCTGGAACTCACTCTATAGACCAGGCTAGCCTCAAACTTAGAGATCTGCCTGTATCTGCCTCCTGAGTGCTGGGGTTAAAGGTGTGCACTACCACTGCCTGATTTTGTAATGGTTAGTTTTAATTGTCAACTTGACCCAATTAAGAATTGCATAGATGGGTTGGTCTGTGAGGGAATATCTTAGTTGGGGTAGAAGAGTCAGGAAGACTCAGTCCTGAATGGGGAGGCACCACTTCATAGACTGGGACCTGAGCTGTAAGAGTGAAGAGGCAAGATGAGCTGTGCAGGCATTTACAAGATCAGAGAATCGGTGACATCACAGGACCAGAGCAACCATGACATCACAGGAACCTCTAGCTAATTGGTTTTCTTAGGAAAGACACTTGCCACTTGAAGTCCTGTAGAACTAGAGAAAGCTAAACAAACAAACAAACAAAAAAACAAAAAAAAAACAAAAACAAAACAAAACAAAACAAAAACTAAAGAGAGCAAGGATTGGGAGTGGGGCAAGAGGAAGGGAAGGAAAGGGAGAGAGGGAAAGAGTGAGGAAGGGAAGGAAGAGAAGATGAAGGAGGCAGGGGCAGGGAGTCAGTGGTTCGTGACACTGCCAGGCATTTAAGTTTCAGCCTGGGCAGGTCTCAGCTCTGGCATCTGTCTGATACAGAGCTCTTTGGGTTCATCCCGGTCCGAAAGTCCAAAAAAAGTTCTGACAAACAAGTTCCTCTGAATGTTTAATTTTTCACTTACATTTATAATTTACTTTCAAGTTGACTTTAAGAGATTTTTTTTTACAAGTGTGAAATTATTGTTTTCAACTCACCAATTATTGTGATCCTTCAAACTCCCCAGGGCCACAAAGAAACAGAGTCCAGACCAATGCTTAATTCCAGTTCCTACAACTGTGAACATGCTCACCCACTTGTCACTTTGGTGTACACCGCCTGGGAGCTCAGAGCTCTTCACTTGCTGGGTCAGGGTCAGTCATTTATCCTCTTGGATACACAGCTCCCCTCATCGACCCTGGAGAGTCCAGCCTGAACCTAGAGCTTCAGGCTGGAATTTTGTCTAAAGCCAGTCAGCAGACCTCTTCTCTCAAAGTCGTCTCACGGCTCTCCTGTCCAGAGCCGATGCTTCCGAGGAACAAACCAGAGAAGTACCACCTTCAACACTTCAGAAACTCAGGTTCATGTCACACTGGGAATAAGAGGAGCACCTTAGTTGAGAAAAAAGCTTACTAGATACTAGCCCCCCAGCATTTGCACCCCTGAAACCCACCCCATTCTTCTTGGGTCCCTTCCCTTGGTCGCCTCCATCTCTGTGAAGTGCACCCGAATGAAGACAGTTCTATGTGTGACCAGTAGGTGGCGTATTTGTCCAAGACAAGATACTAGTGTTTCAAGTTGCCCCAAAGCCTTACAAATAGTAACTTTGAATCCATCATTGTATCAAATTGTGTGTGTGTGTGTGTGTGTGTGTGTGTGTGTGTGTGTGTGTGTGTGTGTTTCCCCCCAGTGGTTCCAGGTTTAATGAAAGGCGCATGGGGTGCTGCATCACACCCTGAGGCTGAGTTGCTGCATTGCTAGGTGTGGAACATCTGCTTTTTGCAGCTGAACAGAGGAATGGAGCATAA